ATCCCCCCATTGGACATGGTGGAACAAACAATGGCTAAACCGAGGACACGAAAGCTTACCTTGCAAGCTAGCTATCCAACCCAAGAGTCCACACAAACACAAAGCCCAAACACAGCAGAATCACAATCTATTTTGGACCAACAGTCATATCAATAATCATACTCAACAAGCATATGACAAAAAGACAACGCCTTTCCTTTACGTTTCGTGTCTTTAGGCTCCTCACAAAGCCATAAGCCCTTAATCAGTTAGATTCTGACTTAAGTTAATTAATACAGAAGTCCTCATTGACTAAACATGGGTCCACAAACCCAAAATAGCATTCTGTATGAACAGTGCCACTACTGTTCTTCGAAAACCCAGAATATCCAGATATATGTCGGGGGCATATCAAGATATCCATATCCGGATATGCATATCCGGGTATCACAGATCCCATATCCGGATACCAATATCCGGATATCAATATCCGGATATTTCGCGACAGAATACATTTTCTGCATTTCGCGAGATATCACTTCCAAGATTGGGTTTTTAACCCATTACTACGTCCAAGCATGCATTTTTACTCTCTTTTAAGTTCATATACAGGTTGGTTACTTGTTTAACTCATTAAACATGCCAAGACTCCATTTTTAAACAAAGACCTTATGATCAAAGGTTGCACAACTTACCCAAGGCTCAAAACAGAGCAAAGTATGCTCTTGGAGCTCACCAACAGCTCCTCAAGTCTGACTTCACAAGGCAAACAAAAATGGCATACCAAAGGTTGGTTCTTACACTCAAAGGTGGCTTCTTGAAGCTCAAAATGGCAAGAACAAAGCTCCACTCTCCCAAACTCAGAATAACAGCCCTAAAACCTCTCAACAAAGAAACCAAACTCAGAAATGGGACACCTTTAACTCACTCAAGACTTAAGCACACACAAGTATGAAGGTTTTGTGAAGGATTCAAGAGGAAAGGTGACTTCTTGAAGTTTCAATGAAGAGGGAGAAAGGAGGCAAGATGGCTGACCACAAGCACCAGAATTTCTCACGTAGGAAGCTCAACAAAAGACCTAGGATCACGTGCCACCTCTATATATATGTGTGCTTATTTTAATCACACAGTATTAACAATAATAGCTACGCTTAGTATTTTAATCCCAAACTCAGGATTCTGAACCTACTCATTTTTCTAAGATTTATCATATTTTTACTTTATTTTTCGCAGCACCTTTCCGGTACGCGCTTTTCCATAGCCAGTATCAGTTCTGGCACCAGTTCTCATTATTTTAACTTGAAACTTGAAATCACAGTCCTATATATTATTCTAGGAATATTCATGCACTTATTATAATTTTCTGGGATAGTTCATCGGTACACATTTAAACTGAGTAGCAGAACCGGTATCTGCACTTTTCGTCCGAAAAGCGACTTTCAGCATTATTAATCACTTACCATAATTATTAGGGTCAATTATGGAATTATTTCCTAATCTTACACAATTAATTAATTAATTTTCTTAATTAACGGTGCGGGTTCTTACATTCACCCCACCTTTTTAGGATTTTGTCCTCAAAATCAGAAACATACCTATCTCGGAAGTCGGGATACTGCCGGAGAAGCTCGTCCTCTCTCTCCCAAGTACACTCCTCAGGAGTTCTTCTAGACCATTGCACTTTGACCATCGGAATGATCGTGCTCCTCAACTTCTTCTCGCCCACGCAACATCCGGCCTATAGGCCTCGACATATAGCCTACGGGTTCCAATCTAAGGAAGTGTTTGATGGGACGTAAATTCGTTCCCATCTAAGCCTATTTTGATGGCAAAATACCATATGTTCCCTCATCTGATGAGCAACTTTAGCATGAAAATCACTTGTTTTACACATTTGTGACAAAAACACAGTGGGGGGAACAGATGGTAACGTATTCCTTTTAAATATATTAAAAGGGGAACGAATTGAGACACATTTAATGCACCTGCTTCATTCATTTAATGCTTTTGTACACTTTGCAGGTAACGTAGAGTTAAAGACTTCTAAAAAACAAGGCGGTGCACCAACTGAGCAGCCGGAAACGTGAAGAGCAGAGAATCAAGAGTTCTCATTGGCTGAAAACAAAAGCAAAGCACGGGAAGGTCTGCAAACAACGGCTAATCATCACCAAACCCTGTTCCATCCAGCAATTCACGCAAGCTTCACACTCTGCTGCCACAGTCCTGTCCCCTCATTCAAGCAACTAGCTCCAAAGGAATTACAGTCTTGCCACTCCTCTTCCAGCTATAAATAGGACCACCCTCACACAAAAACATCATCGAATCCTGGAGGGTTTGCAGTCCGAAAGAAAGAGATCACTTAGTAGTAGTTAGTAACTTAGTTTAATTTTAAGTTGTAACTGTGGTTAAGTGACAACCCCTCTTCTCTTCTCTGTAAACAACCATCAAGACTCCTCACGAGCAAATACCCATCTTTCTCCATTTTCTGTTTCTTTTTGTAAATTGTCTTTTAAATTAATATAAGTGTTTATCTCTTCGTTCCAATCGTTATCTCTTGACTGAATCTCGGGTCTATGTGATCTCAGTTGAGAATAATTATGTTTAAACTATCAGCCGTGAGCTGAACTATCTGTGGAACGGGTAAACTGTGAAACTCTTAAAGAACTGTTTTCAAAACTCTTGACCGAAGCTTTTTGTATTTCTTTGGCTAAGTAAGCTATATTCATTGTGTGCCAATGGAAATTGGGTACATACTGAGAAAGGAACTTCCATAAGGAAGGGATTTCAGACAGCTTAGCCATTGGGGGAAGGTAGATGTCATGGCAAAAACGCTACTGGTCACCTTAGGAATAAGGGGCCACATTTTAAGGTTCTGAACTAAGTACCTGTTGGAGTCAATGGAGCCATAAGAATATGGAAACTTGTGAGCCATCTAGACCATGAGCTGAGGAATCAGAGTTGGCAGGCAAAGAAACTGGGACAAAGCCAAAAGGTGCTAAGTCTTGAGCAGAGAAAACAGCCCCTTTAAGAGTGAAGCAGTGAATCCGTTCCTTCTGTTAAACTGTTTTAACCACCACCCTGTTGTCTCTTGATTATAGTTATTTCTGTTTTAGTAGTTTTCATTTTATTTTATTTAGTAATTATAAAAACTCCAATGATTATTACCTCACCTTCTTCTAAACAGGAAGGATCACATACATAACGCAGCGAGCAACTGTTTGCCATCAGATTGAACTTACTGTTCCTGAGGAACGTTGTCAAGACAGTAGGGAACGTTTGACGAGACAGTTCATTTACAAACTTTTCTTCTCATTTTCATTCTTTATAAATAATGATAAAACAATAATTAGCACTCTATCCTTGTGGGAACGATAATTTGGGCATTAATACTCCCTTTATTACTTGATGCGTGCACTTGCGCACTTGGGTTGGAACTAAGGGACGCCTCTGTGTTCATCAAGAACAGAGGAACATCCCCTATCAGAACTTATATTTTTCCACCATCAGCAAACCACCCAACAAGTTTTTGGCGCCGTTGCCGGGGAGAGAAACACTAACTGTTGTTCTTATCATTGTTTTCTAACACATATACTGTATATCTGACTTTACTTTTATATTTTATTCTCTTTATCACTGAATCTGCTGTGCATATATATACCCTGTGCTATTGGTTTATGAGTGAAGAGTTTGAAACAGACTCTGACCACTCCATTGAAGTACCTGAGTTTCTCTTTGATCCTGAGCCAGAACGTACACTCCATAGGAGAAGAAGGAAGCTCAGGGAAGAATTTCCTGAAAACATGGCTGATCACAATAATAACAATGAAGAAGTTCCCCCTGAACAGAACTTCAGAACTTTGGCTGCTCCTTTCAGGAACCGATCAGATAGGGGAGTAATTCTTCCCCCTGTAGCACCAAATTTTGAACTAAAACCTATCATGTTCCACATGATTAGGGAAGCAGGGGTCTTCAATGGACTCCCTGCAGAAGATCCTTACACACACCTCACAACATTCCAAGATATTTGTGATAATTTTAAAGCTAAGGGTGTAATAGAGGAGAGCATGAGAATGAGGTTGTTCCCTCACTCTTTGGGCTTAAAAGCTAAAACATGGATGAAAACTCTCACCCCTGGATCAATCCACACATGGGAAGAACTCTCTAACAAGTTCATAGAGAGGTTTCTCCCAATGTCTCGACAAATTGATGTTAGAGCTGAAATCTCTAACTTCAGAATGTTTTATGGAGAAAATCTCTATGAAGCATGGGAGAGATACAAGGACATCATAAGAAAATGTCCAAACCACGGGGTAGAGAGTTGGGGAGTATTACAATCTTTCTATAAGGGACTTGACCATACTTCTCAATCTCACCTAGATTTTGCTGCAGGAGGATATTTCTTTACAGGAACACTTGACTCAAGGTACGAAATCATAGAAGGGACTGCTGAAAGATGTCTCCAATGGCCAATAGACAGAGTGAGCCCAGTGAGGAAGCCAAGCATGCTAGAACTGGATAAACAAACAGCCATGGAAGCCCAGCTGGCATGACTCATGAATGAAGTGAAGAACCTGAGAGATGACCAAGCAGCACCAAGGATGGAAGTCTTACAACTCACAGCAATTGAAACAGAACCATGCTCAGCCTGTGGTGACCTTCATGACTCAACAGACTGCCCATCCACTGCATTAGTGTGTTATGCGGAAAATTTTGGCAATAGGAACTTCACTAGAGACAATCAACAAGCAGGACGAAATACACATTCAAGCCCTGGAGAAACTATCATTAAGGATCAGAACCACAACACCCAATGGAGGCCACCCATTAACCATAGACCATTCAACAACAATCAGCAGCAGTATCAACAAGGTAGCAGCAGTGGAATGTTTGAACAAAGAAGAAACAACTACGTTCCGTTCCACAGAGATGACCAACGCATCAACACCCTGGAAAATTATGTCAAGGAATATGTCACTAGGAATGATGCAGTGGTCAGGAACATTGAGTCCCATTTGGGGCAGATTGCTGCCAACCTTCAAACTAGAACACAAGGATCACTAGCAGGGAATACTGACGTCCCTTCAACAACCTCGCCAAAAGTAGCATCTATCTCCCCTTCAGAGCAAATCAAAGTTGTCACCTTAAGAAGTGGGAAAGCCACAGCACAGCCCACAGTTCAACCAAAGGAAAAGGAACAGACTGGAGCATCTGAAGCAGCCCTAAAAGCACAGCAACAATCACCAGTCACAGATGAACAGAACCCAGAACCTGAAAAGGAAGCCAACAGCCAACCAATCAGTCCAACTCAAAGCAGGCAAATATTAACAAAAATTATGTTCCCTCAAAGAACAAAAAAGCAACAGGAGGATAAGCACTTTGGAAAGTTCCTGGACATTTTAAAACAACTTCACATCAACATTCCTCTGGTGGACGCACTAGAACAGATGCCCAGGTACATAAAATTCATGAAAGATGTCCTCTAAAAAAAAGAGGAATAACAGAATATGAGACTGTAAAAATGACACAAGAGAGTTGCCAGTACTTAGGCAGACTCCCACCTAAGCTTCAAGACCCAGGAAGCTTCACCATTCCTTGCATTATAGGAGACACGTACCAAGGGAAAGCCTTGTGTGATTTAGGGGCCAGCATCAATCTCATGCCCCTATCTGTCTTCAAACAATTATCCACCGGACCAGCTAAACCCACCACGGTGACTTTGCAAATGGCAGACAGATCCATCGTCAAGCCAGAAGGGAAGATTGAAGATCTGCTAGTCAAAGTAGACAAATTTATCTTACCCGCTGAGTTCATCATTCTGGATTATGAAGCTGACGTTCCCATCATTCTGGGTAGACCGTTCCTAGCAACTGGAGGAGCAGTTATCAATGTACAAAAAGGGGAACTAACCATGAGAGTTCATGACGATGAGATCAAGTTCAATATTCTCAAAGCAATAAAGTTCCAGGATGATGGAGAAGACTTGGAAGAATGTTCTGCTCCCACTTTGTTAGACAATCAGCCTAGCAGAAAAATAGAGGAAGAAGAAGAAGATCCACAACAGGAAAAGCAGAGTTTCTATCTGCAAGAAAGAAGGCCTGAACCTTTGATAAGAACTGAAAAGGAGAAGCAGCTCAAAAGACCTTCTTCAGAAAAACCTCCTGATTTAGAACTAAAACCCCTTCCCTAACATTTGAAGTATGCATATCTGGGGAACAACAACACCCTTCCTGTGATCATTTCTTCATTTCTTCCCAAGGAACAAGAAGAACTGTTGCTTGACAAGCTCAAAAAGTATCAAGGAGCCATCGGTTGGACCATAGCTGATCTCAAAGGTATCAGTCCCTCATTCTGTATGCATAAAATATTATTGACTGATCCTAACAATTTTTCAGTGGAACACCAAAGAAGATTAAACCCTATAATGAAAGAAGTAGTGAGAAAGGAAGTCATCAAATGGATGGATGCAGGGATCATATACCCAATATCTGACAGCAGTTGGGTAAGTCCTGTCCAATGCGTCCCCAAAAAGGGAGGCATAACAGTGGAGAAGAATGAAAGAATGAGCTGATACCTGTAAGAAAGGTTACAAGATGGAGAATCTGCCAAGATTTCAGGAAGCTCAATAATGCCACCAGGAAGGACCATTTCCCACTCCCTTTTACAGATCAGATGCTGGACCACCTAGCAGGAAAAGAATACTTCTGCTTCCTTGATGGATATTCGGGGTATAATCAAATTGCCTTGGCACCAGAAGATCAACATAAAACCACCTTCACCTGCCCATATGGAACGTTCGCTTTCAGAAGGATGCCCTTCGGGTTATGTAATGCACCAGCAACGTTCCAGAGGTGTATGTTCTCAATCTTTTCTGATCTAATAGGTGAAGGAGTAGAAGTCTTTATGGATGATTTTTCAGTACTGGGAATGTCATATGATCACTGCTTGGACAACTTAGAAGAAGTCCTTCAAAGGTGTCTGTCCTCTAATCTAGTGCTTAATTGGGAAAAATGCCACTTTATGGTGAAAGAAGGAATAGTCCTGGGACACAAGATTTCCAGAGAAGGACTGGAAGTGGATCAAGCCAAAGTAGAAGCTATAGCAAAAATGCTGCCACCAGTAAGTGTAAAAATCTTGAGATCTTTTTTAGGGCATGCAGGCTTTTACAGAAGGTTTGTTAAAGATTTTTCCAAAATAGCTAAACCTTTGTGCCACTTATTAGAAAAAGATATAAAATTTGAGTTTAACTCTGATTGTGTGAAAGCTTTTGAATCTTTGAAAAATAAGCTCATCGCCACGCCTGTCATCCAACCTCCAGACTGGAACTTACTCTTTGAACTGATGTGTGATGCAAGTGATCATGCTATTGGGGTAGTTCTGGGCCAGAGGAAGGACAAACTTTTTCGTAGCATATATTATGCCAGTAAAACTCTAAATGAAGCTCAGGTGAACTACACAGTCACTGAAAAAGAGCTATTGGCTGTAGTATATGCTTGTGAAAAATTCAGGCCTTACATTTTAGGATCAAAAGTTACTGTCCATACTGACCATGCAGCTCTCAAGTACCTCTTCTCGAAAAAGGAAGCAAAAACAAGATTGATAAGATGGGTCCTAGTGCTGCAAGAGTTCAATCTGGAGATCAAAGAAAGAAAAGGATGTGAAAATCGAATTGTAGATCATCTGTCCAGATTGGAACACATTGAAGTGGCGCTACCAATCAAGGAAACGTTCCCTGACGAAAAATTGCTTGTCATTAATCACATAGAGACAAATGCTCCTTGGTTTGCTGATATAGCCAACTTCCTTGCAGCAGGGCTGGAACCTTATGAGGCGAATAAAATGCAGAAGAAGAAATTTTTTCACGATTGCACGAACTACCTCTGAGATGAACCACTACTATTCAGAAGATGCGCAGACCAAATGATAAGAAGGTGCGTCCCAGAAGAAGAACAACCTCAAATCCTTCAACACTGTCATTCGTCCCCATATGGAGGACATCTAGGTGGAATTAGGACTGCCTCCAAGGTTCTTCAATCAGGTTTCTTCTGGCCTTCCCTTTTTAGAGATGCACTTCAATATGCAAAAAATTGTGATAAATGTCAAAGAGAAGGTAACTTGACTAAACAAAATGAAATGCCCCTCAATCCGATCCTAGAAGTTGAATTATTTGATGTTTGGGGCATTGATTTCATGGGACCTTTCCCTTCTTCGTGTGGGAACAAATTCATATTAATGACGGTAGATTATGTAAGCAAGTGGGTAGAAGCAGTTGCTTTACCCACTTATGATGCTAAGGTGGTATAAAATTTTTAAAGAGGAACATATTAACCAGATATGGAACCCTACGTTGTCTCATCAGTGATGAAGGGAAACATTTCATCAACCGCCAACTTGAGAGGTTGTTAGGTTTACTGGGCAGTCCAAACCCTCAACATGGATGAAAAAACAGCTGAAGAGAAGAGATTGCTGCAACTCGAAGAATTAGAGGAGTTCGGAGGGAACACATACGAAAATCATAAATTGTACAAGGAAAAGATGAAGAAGTGGCACGATAAAAGGATCAGAACAGAGATCTCAAAATCGGTCAGAAGGTGCTACTCTTCAACTCTAGACTCAGACTGTTCC